TACAAGCTCGTTCTCATCCCTAACAGGCGAACCTTTGCTGAGTCGACCACAGCTGCTACTTCGACGTGATATCATTCGACCCTGGGCACGCGAAGACCTGCTTCTTCCTTGTGTCGCCAGAGGTCACCCCACTCCCACCGTCACGTGAGTTGACCTTGAGCCGAGTACGAGTGGATGGAACTGGCTGATAGCAGTGGAAAAGAATAACTTGGGCCATAGCAGTGAAAAAGGATAACTGGGTCATAGCAGTGAAAAAGGATAACTGGGTCATAGCAGTGAAAAAGGATAACTGGGTCATAGCAGTGAAAAAGGATAACTGGGTCATAGCAGTGAAAAAGGATAACTGGGTCATAGCAGTGAAAAAGGATAACTGGGTCATAGCAGTGAAAAAGGATAACTGGGTCATAGCAGTGAAACGAGCAATATTAGTGGGTAGAATTAATATAAGTGGGCAGAACTGAATGCAGTGAGTAGTTATTGTGAATAGGAGCAGGTGGGACTACGGGACAGCTGTAGGTAGAACTAGGAGATGCTAAGAGGTACAGCTAGTCTTTAATTATGATGGTAATTATAGGATAGTAGATAGAATAATGTGATAATAGTAATAATGAGACAGCAAGTAATTAAAGAATCGAGAGAATATCTCTACATTATTAATAGACAATTAAATATAGTTATTACATGGGATAAAATGACGAAATATTCATAGACGTAGAAAAAATACGAAAATAAAGATCAACCTTAATATAACTTAAGAAGTGCGTATATATAGTAGTACTGTTAATGTGACATTCTCCACCTCTCTCTCTCTCTCTCTCTCTCTCTCTCTCTCTCTCTCTCTCTCTCTCTCTCTCTCTCTCTCTCTCTCTCTCTCTCTCTCTCTCTCTCTCTCTCTCTCTCTCTCTCTCTCTCTCTCTCTCTCTCTCTCTCTCTCTCACGCCCTCGCTGCAGGTGGTACCACGAGGACGACGCCCGTGGGCGTGTGGGCGTGGGTAGCAGTGGGCGCGTTCAGGTGGTGGAGGGCCAACTGCTGATCACAGCCACCAGACAAGAGGACTCCGGACACTATCTCTGCGTCGCCAACAACTCCGCCGGGACGGATTCATACAGGTAAGAACCCATATGAGTAACTGCTCATACAGGTGAGAACCCATATGAGTAACTGCTCATACAGGTGAGAACCCATATGAGTAACTGCTCATACAGGTGAGAACTCCTCACACAAGTGAGTAGCGACTCATACAGGGCGATACAAGCAGGCAATGACGAGACAAGAGAAAGAAGAGACAAGAGACAGAAGAGACAAGAGACAGAAGAGACAAGAGACAGAAGAGACAAGAGACAGAAGAGACAAGAGACAGAAGAGACAAGAGACAGAAGAGACAAGAGACAGAAGAGACAAGAGACAGAAGAGACAAGAGACAGAAGAGACAGAAAACAGAAGAGACAAGAGACAGAAGAGACAGAAAACAGAAGAGACAAGAGACAGAAGAGACAAGAGACAGAAGAGACAAGAGACAGAAGAGACAAGAGACAGAAGAGACCGGACAGGATAATTATCCGCCCTAGAGCACAATATAAAAACTATTTTCCCCATACTCACCACCGTGCTGTCTCTCTGGCCCGCTCAATATACTGCTCCTCTGCCAAAGTTGGTCAACTTATTGCCTAATTAGCATATTGCCACCTCCAAAATAATCTCCTGGAGCTTGTAATGTAATTAATTAAGAGCGTCCTACTCCTCTAACTTTTAAACTTTGTTTCTAAGTCATGCGGCGACTTAGAACATAAACAAGCAGTGGGATCTCAGACACTCTTACACGCACGCACGCACGCACTAAGAGAATTGGAGGAAAGAAGGATTAAGGAGGACATAATAACGACGTACAAGATACTAAGATTGACAAGGTAGACGTAGAAGCAATGTTCAAATTAAGAAACTGTAGATAGAGAGAACATAGTTGGAACCTGCAAACACAGATGAGTCACAGAGATGTCAGAAAGAACCTGTATATATATATATATATATATATATATATATATATATATATATATATATATATATATATATACATATATATATATATATATATATATATATATATATATATATATATATGTCGTACCTAGTAGCCAGAACGCACTTATCAGCCTACTATGCAAGGCCCGATTTGCCTAATAAGCCAAGTTTTCATGAATTAATTGTCTTTTGACAACCTAACCTACCTAACCTAACCTAACCTAACTTTTTCGGCTACCTAACCTAACCTAACCTATAAAGATAGGTTAGGTTAGGTTAGGTAGGGTTGGTTAGGTTCGGTCATATATCTACGTTAATTTCAACTCCAATAAAAAAAAATTTACCTCATACGTAATGAAATGGGTAGCTTTATCATTTCATAGGAAAAAAATTAGAAAAAATATATTAATTCAGGAAAACTTGGCTTATTAGGCAATTCGGGCCTTGCATAGTAGGCTGATAAGTGCGTTCTGGCTACTAGGTACGACATATATATATATATATATATATATATTACATTTAATGAATACGCATTAGTATTCTTTATCATATCTAAAATACATAAAAAATCGATTTTAAAGTAACAAATAATTTATTCTGAAAACACGATTACATTTGAAGAAAGATGACACTAGTTATTAAAAAAAGGAAAACATGAAAATGAAAAAATACCAAAGTCAACTTACGGGATAATAAAGCAAAGATTTGATAATTTAACATCGACAGTGAAGATTAAAATCTCAATTAAAATCCTAAAAATTCGAAAGCCTATGGAAGACCAAATTAAATCATTCACAATCGAATTCCCCATGTCACGCATTATCAAGAAACACAAATATTATCAACTAATAGACACCCAATTGTTATATTCCACATCACAAATATAAAATTATATGGCCCATCCTACTTCAAATAAAAACAACAGAACCACAAATCAAGGGGAAACTAAACAATTAAAGGAAATAATGACGCGCAAATATAACACGCGCCGAACAAACACGATGAAATGTTTCATAGAATACAATTAAGCATCTGATGCATTATTGTATATTGTATATTTTGTATTGTATACTGTATATTTTGTATTGTATACTATATTTTTTTCTTGTATGTTTCGCGCCTGTTATATTTGCGCAGTCATTATATTCTTTAATTTTTTAGTTTCCCCTTGAATTGTAATTTTTTTTGGTGCTTTCATTTGAAATGGGATAGGTTATATAATTTTCTATTTAATCGTGTGATGGTGAATATAACAATTGGATGTATTATTTTATAATATTTTATAATATTTGTGTTTCTTTATAATGGTTGACATGAGGAATTCGATAGTGATTGATTTAATTTGGTTTTCCATAAACTCTTTGAATCATTAGGATCTTAATTGTGATTTTTATTTAGTCTTTATTGTCGATGTTAAATTATCAAATCTTACTTTGTTTTAATATCACGTAAGTTAACTTTAATATTTTTTACTTTTCATGTTTTCTTATTTAATAACTAGGGTCATTTTCAATTTCGATTTTTCTGTATTTTAAATATCATGACGAATACTCATGAGTATTCTTAACGTTATAGATTTTAATTGAAAAGTAAATATTTTAATTAAAGAAGATGTTCCTATTGTTAATAGTGTTCCTATATATATATATATATATATATATATATATGTCGTACCTAGTAGCCAGAACGCACTTCTCAGCCTACTATGCAAGGCCCGATTTGCCTAATAAGCCAAGTTTTCATGAATTAATTGTTTTGTGACTACCTAACCTACCTAACCTAACCTAACCTAACTTTTTCGGCCACCTAACCTATAGAGATAGGTTAGGTTAGGTTAGGTAGGGTTGGTTAGGTTCGGTCATATATCAACGTTAATTTTAACTCCAATAAAAAAAAATTGACCTCATACATAGTGAAACGGGTAGCTTTATCATTTCATAAGAAAGAAATTAGAGAAAATATATTAAATCATGAAAACTTGGCTTATTAGGCAAATCGGGCCTTGAATAGTAGGCTGAGAAGTGCGTTCTGGCTACTAGGTACGACATATATATATATATATATATATATATATATATATATATATATATATATATATATATATATATATATATATATATATATATATATCACTTTCTTGCCATTTCATACTGTATTATTATTTATTATTGATATTGTAAGTTTTTTAATACATAGCAAAATAATTACTATGAATCACAATAGAAGTTTGCATCAAAATGTAGATATAGTGTACTAGTGAGCATCCCTCTCTCCTCAGAGTGAACATGAAGGTGAGGGAACATCTGAGCGCTTCGGTCGAACCTAACCTTCATCGCGTTGACCTGGGGCGTCCTACCCGCCTCATCTGTCGCGTGTCGGGCTCGCCTGTCACCTCCCTCACCTGGTACAAGGATGGCCGGCCTCTGCCCTCACTGCCCAGACTCACCACCTACGACACCACTCTCCACATTGGACAGGTTAGGGACTCATACTCGGGCCTCGGTTAATATTTGGGTTCGATAAGGTGTTGTGATTGGTGATGTTTGTTGGCCTGTTTGGGAGGTGTTCGTAACCTGTGGCCAGATTCACGAAGCAGTTACGCAGGTACTTACGAACGTGTACACCTTTTCTCAATTTTTGACGGCTTTGGTTACATTTATTAGCGTTTACATGCATGGAAACTTTCCAATCAACTGTTGGTATTGTTATAAACAGTCTCCTGGTGCTTCGGAGCTCATTAACTGGTTAATAATTGTAAACAAAGCCGCCAAAGATTGAGGAACGATATACAGGTTCGTAACTGCTTCGTGAATCGGGCCCTTGGGAACGAAGGTAAACAGGTGAGGGCTTACGAAAGCAGACATTAGAAGCGAATTGTGGTGATAACTGCGTTCGTAAACACAGTACGAAGAATAGGTGAGGGGGTATTCGTGAGAAGACATGTCAGGCCACTTAGATATTTGAGAAGATTAGTTGATTGGTGAGCTGTGATTGGCTATGTACGTGAACATATTAAGAGTAGCTCTATATCCCATCGTGAGTAAATAGTGCAAATGTTGCTGGAAAATGTTACAAACTAAACAGGTGCAAGATGTAATCCCCTAATGTGGATTACATTCGTTAATATTGGTAAAGCTAATGGTGTCTCTAATGATACACATGCACAAGATTACCGCGGACTCTTTACGCACATGCGCATGACTGTAATGATGTCTACGCATGTACACTAAGATTACCAAAAGACATTTGCGCGAGGAAAGGTTCACAACATTTGAACAAAACAGTGATAGCACATGGCTCACACAGAAACGATATCCGCCTTGGGGAGACGCATACACATAATCCCTTTTGGATGGATATCTCGCTCATCCACACACCCAGAGATATCCAGACTTACAATACTCGTATATACACTCACGTCAAGCCAATGAATATGCCCTTAGAGTCGCGGAACTAAACACCGCGAATTAATGAGAAAACACCGCGAGTTAATGAAAAAACACCGCGAACACATTCCCTGACGTGGCTGCGGGGGGTCGCTCGGAGCAACAGCCAATTAGACTCCAACTTTTCCATCAGTGACGCCGCTGGTACTGTAATCTAATGGATGAGAACCAGAGATCCGGAATTACTCAACGAGGCTGGTTCACTTTTTAAGGTTTTCATGTAACTGTTTTTCTCACATTTTTTTGTTATCCTGTGTAAACAAAAAAAATCGTTTTTGCATTTTTTTTTATCCTTTTTTTCTGATATATGCGAGTTCGTGTGATTATATTCTCCTGTGTTTGACTGGGCTGTATTCTGCTTTATTTTCCCTAAACTATACTGTTGGTATATTCTTAACTTTACTGCCCTATACTGCACTCATAGGTTTTTATTCGACTGTATGAGTTTTATTTTTGACTGAATGTGACTATTTTCGACTGTAGTTGGTAATATTCGAATTTTTAGTTATTCTCAACTGTATTTGTCTATATTCTTGAGATTATCTTAAGATGATTGCGGGGCTTTAATGTCCCCGCGGCCCGGTCCTCGACCAGGCCTCCACCCCCAGGAAGCAGCCCGTGGCAGCTGACTAACACCCCAGGTACCTATTTTACTGCTAGGTAACAGGGGCATAGGGTGAAAGAAACTCTGCCCATTGTTTCTCGCCGGCGCCTGGGATCGAAACCCGGGACCACAGGATCACAAGTCCAGCGTGCTGTACGCTCGGCCGACTCGACTGTCTGTTTCGACAGATTTTACTGTGTTTGTATGTGCTCAATTGTATTTAGCAATACTTTATTGTATTATTAATAACCGACTGTATTTGTCGGTACTTGGCCACATTTGGCTATAATCAAATTTATTTGAATATAATCGACTACATTATCTACACTTAACTGAATTTGGCAATATTATCTACAATTCCTGGTCTGTTTCAGACTATATTCGTCTACACTATACTGTATTCATCCACACACTCCACATCTCCAAAAGATAGATATATCTGTTCTAGCGTTATCTTCCAGGACAGATTTCTCAACAGTCTTGGGTGACTGAGTTTCTTAATTGACCGTCTTGAGAGTAAATAAGGTTTGTTATTTTCTTGTTCGTGAAGAAAATAAATCGTTCATAATGTATTAACATTTATACACCAAATAAAGCGTTATGATGCTTAAATATCTTAGGCAAAATAGATACTCTTTATTTTATATAATTATCCGTTTATCCGTACCAATATATATTTATATATTAGTAGACGTAATATTATTATTATTATTATCATTATTGATGTTCAATATTTTAAAAATATTTCTTGTACCTTTGTCAATTAAAGGATTATAATTGGGCAATTACTAGTGATTGGTGAGGCGCGTCTTTGGGAAGATCTGCAGATGGTAATAATGAGACTAGTCAATTAAGACGATTACATCTTGTCTTCCTGATCAAAATTTATACTTGGGGAATTACAGGATGTAATTTTAGGCTATTTCCTTGGGCTCCGGTTGTTACCAGACCTGTGTACTCTCCTAGTTGTGCTTGCGCGGGGGTTGAGCTCTGGCTCTCTGGTCCCGCCTCTCAACTGTCAGTCAACTAGTGTGTGTGTGTGTGTGTGTGTGTGTGTGTGTGTGTGTGTGTGTGTGTGTGTGTGTGTGTGTGTGTGTTTACTAGTTGAGTTTTGCGGGGGTTGAGCTTTGCTCTTTCGGCCCGCCTCTCAACTGTCAATCAACTGTTTACTAACTATTTTTTTTTTTTTCTCACCACACACACACACCCCCGGAAGCAGCCCGTGACAGCGGGCTGTGTGTGTGTGTGTGTGTGTGTCTGTGTGTGTGTGTGTGTGTGTGTGTGTGTGTGTGTGTGTGTGTGTGTGTGTGTGTGTGTGTGTGTGTTTACTCGCCTAGTTGTGCTTGGGGAGATATGATAGAGCCCAGTAGACTCAGTAATCTGTACACCAGTTGATTGGCAGTTGAGAGCCGGGACCAAAGAGCCAGAACTCAACCCCCACAAGCTCAGCTAAGTGAGTACATCCCAATAACTCGGGTTCGCGCCTATTATGTAGCCTCAATATTTTATCAAATATACATAACGCCTTCGTGATTGCATTGTACAGGAATATGTATTTGCTCCACATGTTCACATGTGTGTGTAACAGATGTACGTGTCTCTACAGGTGTCTCGGGAGGACGGAGGAATGTATCAGTGTCTGGCCAGAAATGACGAGGACTCTGCGCAGGCCGCCGCGCAGGTCGACCTCGGGGGTAAGTATCCAGCTTCGTGTTGTTGCTTCTCGCTTTCCACACCTGTCCATGAACACACCTGGGCACACCTGGGCACACCTGGTACCCGGGAATGCTTCCAGCAAATGTAAACAGCCAGGAGGAAGAGGAACGTGATGTGTAGCACAGAGCGACCCAACACCTCACTAACTTCTAACGATCCAAAAACTAAGAAAACATGTGTAAACAAACAAACAAACATGTCATGTCATGTGTAAACAAGTTTGTGACTGACGAGGCTTAACAAACGTTGGTGACCAGATTTCAAAAAGTAAAGTTAATTATGTTTTGTATTGGTTTGTAGGGGTTTGTACCCGTTTATAAGAGGGGTCGAGTAACCACCGTCTTGGAGGGGTCGAGTAACCACCGTCTTGGAGGGGTCGAGTAACCACCGTCTTGGAGGGGTCGAGTAACCACCGTCTTGGAGGGTCGAGTAACCACCGTCTTGGAGGGGTCGAGTAACCACCGTCTTGGAGGGGTCGAGTAACCACCGTCTTGGAGGGGTCGAGTAACCACCGTCTTGGAGGGTCGAGTAACCACCGTCTTGGAGGGGTCGAGTAACCACCGTCTTGGAGGGGTCGAGTAACCACCGTCTTGGAGGGGTCGAGTAACCACCGTCTTGGAGGGGTCGAGTAACCACCGTCTTGGAGGGGTCGAGTAACCACCGTCTCGGAGGGGTCGATCATATAAGACGTGAATCTTGCTTCTTATTATATGATATGCTGCCTTTTCCCTTGTTCATTATCTCTACATTTAAGAAGTGCTTCTTGATGTCGTTGTGGGTCACCTTCTTGATGTCCTTCTTCTTCATCTTTGCCTCTAGCTTCTATCCCAGCACATCTCTCATGTCTTGATCATCTTAGAATCTATCCTTCTATCTTGATCCTACTCATTAACTTCGCATCGTCCAGGAAATAATAGATATAAACGAGTCTATTGGCTATGTTTGGTAGTTAATAGTTAATATGTATTAAGAAGACTAAATGCAGTTTATTGTTACACTCTACTCGTTGCTCCTTTCCAGTCTGAGCTCTGTTTTCTAGCTGTGACCTTCTGATTCCTCTCCGAGAGGTATTCCCCCAGTGTCTTCTCTTCCGAGAATAAGTTAATAGTTTCTTTTGTAGGTACGATGTCGAACGTTTTCTGACAGTCAAGCAAGATGCAGTCAGTCCATCTCTACCTCTCGTGTATTTATATCTGTCATCTTGTCATAAAACTCGTTGAGGCGAAAAACGAGAGAAAGAGCAAGTGAGAAATAGAGAGAGAGAGAGCAAGAGAGAGAAAGCGAGAGAGAGACAGTGGCATCAGTCACTCGATGACTTCCAAACCTGCTGTATTGCTGCACAGAACATTGCACATGTTGACGGGAGAGGCGCCACGGATTGTATGCTAATCTCCCCCCAACACTTAGCCCTAGGCGCCATGACGAGCCACGTATTGAACCAAACAAGCAGGATAGTCACACTGGCTTGTACTACCAACATGTTCAATCACGTAATTAAGCTTGAAATGGGTAGTAGTAGTAGCCCAAGTAGCACGGGCTCACCATAGCCCGTGCTACTTGGAACTTGTTCCGAGTAGCTGAATCTATAACAACAACAACATCAAGCCGTATGAAAGCTGTGATGCTCCGCTGGCTCCAGCTTTATCCTGTACCTTACATGATTGTAAATTAACATTAAATGTAGTTTTATTCCCAATGACACAATAATAATGCCAGTATATAGATCAGAGTTTAGGCTCGAGCTTCGGCTGTGTCTATGTACGGTACAGCTTCTTTAGCTTGCAGACTCGTTAGGAAAATGAGAACAAATCCTAATGAATCCTAAACTTAATTAAAACAGAGTGACAGAAAGAGAGACATACACGGACAAAAGGAAGATTAGAGAGACGGATAAGCAGAAGACGACAATACGAGGGGTCATACAGGAAGACTGACAAACACACACACGCACACACACACACACTCACACACACACACACACTCACACACACACACACTCACACACCACACACACACACACACACACACACACACACACGCGCGCACACACACACACACACACACACACACACACACACACACACAACACACACACGCACACACACACACACTCACACACACACACACACACGCAAACACACACACACACACACACACACACACACACACACACACACACACCACACACACACACACACACACACCACACACACACGCGCGCACACACACACACACCACACACAACACACACACACACACACACACACACACACACACACACACACTGAGCACGCAGAGACATGTTTTAAAGACACAAGAAAATACTAATAAAATGGAGACTCAGGAGCCATGCAAAGAAGCAAAACAGGTAGACAGAGGAAGGTAGAAATTAGAAGTCAGACAGAAGATAGACAGCGGGGAGGTAGACAGTAACTGTAGAGGAGAATGTCAGTGTTTACTCGTCTACATATAGAGCAATGGATAACATGAATTAATCGACCAATAGAGCTAATGACAGAGGCGGTAATACACACACACTGCCAAACAAGGTCAAGCCCCCATTGTATTTATGACCTCATGATGCCGTGCCATACATGCCTATACATACTCTGGATACAGTGATGTATGATGTATACACCCATATATCCCTGGATATAGTGTAGTATATCTCATGAATACAGCACCACATATCCTTTGCATGCAGTGCCATTTATCACCTAGATGCAGATACACCATACTCGAGCATACACTTATCATACAATACAGTGTTATACCTCACCTGGACACACGCACACACACACACACACACACACACACACACACACACACACACACACACACACACACACACACACACACACACACACACACACACAACACACACACAGGTAGACAGCAATAACCAGACATGCAGGTAATCCCCAGGAGAACCTTCACATTGCTCCCTAGGATTTACAGAGAATTTGGCAGTAACCCGGTGTAATTACAGGAGATTAGCTGAGACAATCCCCGGATTAGTCTGCCGGATATTGTGTGACCTTTGGAGAGGTCATGGATGGTTATATCCACGTACTGCGACTACCGTCTCGCTCTCGTTTGATACAAGACTGACAAGCTTATGTGTGATTTGTCCGGAATGGGGCGGCAAATACTGATGTGAAATATCTCTCTCTTCCTGTGATGATTCTTGGCTTCCTCGCTTGCTCTCTCTCGTCGTCGATGTCTGTTGACTTCCTCTCTTCGCTGATGTTATTGACTTCCTAATCTAACCGGAGCGGCTGTGCTCTGCGGCACCCTCCCTCAGCACCATTTGTCACTCCATCACCACGCAGGAAACCAAGACTTAATCTTTGGAATTTAAACCGTAATAGTCACATTTTGCTGGTGGGGATTTTTGGTGATTTTTCTCGGATGTGTTTTATGGCACACACACCACACACACACACACCACCACACACACACACACCACACACCACACACACACACCACACACACACAACACTCTCCTGAACTTTCATGAACGACGTATTTTCAAGCAAATAGATCAAACTAACAGCGATAAAAGCTTTACGATTTGTTATTGCTCGCCTGAAAGTGCGACCGTTGAGGCCTCTAGTTCCCCTGTCCAATCACCTGAAGGTAGTTCCTCCCTCACCTGAAGGTAGTTCCTCCCTCACCTGAAGGTAGTTCCTCCCTCACCTGAAGGTAGTTCCTCCCTCACCTGAAGGTAGTTCCTCCCTCACCTGAAGACGTAACTAGCGGCGAATGCAATTTCCTCGCCGCCTTCAGTGTTCCTTCGTTCATAACAACCCAACCACGTCGTACTTCTTATCGCTGTCTTCTCGTTAGCTCTCCCACCCCCCTTTCCACTCCCCTGCACCTCCCTTTCCCCTACCTTTCCCTTCCCCCTTCCCCATTGCCTTCGGCGGGCCCCGGCAAGGTAAGCCTCCCTTCAGAGCCAAGATCACTTGGCGGGTTTAGCAAATTAATCCTTGCGACCTCGGGCGAGTCTCTGATACTGTGCACTCACCTGGATGTACTCACCTGGTTGTACTTGCGAGGGTTGAGCTTTGGCTCTTTGGTCCCGCCTCTCAACTCGGCGTGTCGGTGGAGGCAGGCGGCGCCAACACTAATGACAATACTGTCATTAATTATATGGTCATATATTATCATTAATATATTAATATTAATATTATCATTATTTTAATTACTTAAATATTAACGTAAAAAAAGACAATAATTCCATTTAAAAAAAACCTGCTTTCCACCCGGCAGGAATATCCAAA